TGATCAAGGCCTTCGGTGCGCCTGAGAACGCGCAGCGCATGGAGGAGGCTCGGGACAACGCCTGCAACGACATGGGCAAGATGCTGCAGTTCCTTCTGCCCGTGGCTACCCAGATCCAGCAGGACGTGATCAAAGCCTACGGCTTCAGTAACGATGGGGAAGGTGGGTTGTTCTTCCCCGAGCGGAGAGCTCCGGGCCGGCTGAGGGGGCGGCGGCGGCCGGCGCGTACCTCCTTCCCCCCCCCTTTCTTGCAGGGGTCCTGAAGTTCGCTCGGCTGATTAAGTCCTACGAGTCGCAGGACCCAGAGATCGCCAGCATGTCGGGCAAGCTCAAGGCCATGTTCCTGCCGCCCATGACGCTGCCGCCGCACGGGGCTGGGACCGGCGGAGTGGCAACCTCCTGAGACCGTGCACCCCTCCTGCTCCACCGGATCGTGGTGCTCTGGCTGGGGCTGCCCTCCCGAGGCGTGGGTCCTGTCAGTCTCGGGAATGGAGCACTTGAACGAGGGAGACGCTGACCTGAAAGGAACGGGATGCTCTGTGTGTGCTTGTGTGTCTGCTCCTGAATAAAAAGTGTCTTGAAAATGCCCTTGTTTTATGGATGTACGTGAGCTCAGCAGTGCTCCTCAGGCACAGATGCTGCTCCCTGGTGCAGAGGCAGTTACAGCAGTGCCCACCTCATTCTTAATGAAACCTGTGCTCGTTTTTTGTGGGGCCCAGTATGTACTAAGTTCTGCAAAAGGTAATTGCTTATGCAAGCCTTGGTGTGAAGCCCTGGGACTTGATGTCAAAGTGACTTTTTTAACATTTCAGATGTGCTGAGCCCTGTCTAAGAGCAAGCATTTACAAATGTGCTATTTGAAACATACTAGGTAATGTGTTCCTACACGTAATCTAGTGCTGTTCAGCAAGTGCCATGAATGCTGCTGAGACCCGTGTCTCCAGCAGGGTGAGGGCAGCTGACTCACTCCTACTACCAGTGCCTGTGGCTGTATCATTTTCTGGTTGAATGTGCAATCAAATACATCAACCCTAGTGAAAAATGCAGCAGAGATGCAGCAGGGACTGGCACGTTGTGGGAGGCCTGGGCTTGCCCTATTTGGTTGCAGCCTGGATTAGAACGACGTAAACAACATAAAATTGTATCTTGTGTCTTTTGGTACCAAAGAGAGGCAAAACTAGTGGAGCAGCCTCACTTCAGTGGGATGTTTTGTGTTTCTCAATTGATTCAAACAAAGGGAGGTGAGATATACTTGCTTGCAGCCTCCTGCCTTGTGTGCCTGTTGCACTTGGAAGCATTGAGGTCTTTGGGGAGGGCAATGGGGGCCAGGGTGGTGGGGCTGGGGGTGAAGCAGCCAGGCCTGGGAGAGCAGGGAGCAGTGAGCCAGGTGTGAGAGAGCCGCGTCTGGTTTTGCTTTCTGTGCCTTTCGGTTACAAACCAGGCAGGAATGTAGCCAGTGAGGGCGTGAGCTTAGTGGATAGGAGGCAGGAAGAGCAGTCAGTCCCTTCCGTCTTCATCTACCTCTCCCAGCTTGGCCTTGGCCTTCCCCCACCCCTCTAATTATTCATTAACTACAGCCCAGGAAGTGCTTTGCAAATGGTGAAAATTAAGCCCTCTGCTTGAGGCCTGCCTGACCTGGAGCTACCTTCTTCTTAGTCTGCCTAGGATTAGGTGGAGTTGGGACTGTGCCTGTGTGGATCAGACACAGGTGAGTTACGGGAGGTGCCGCAGTCCCTGAGCGCTGCCAGCTGTTCCTCCAGAGCCGTGGCATTCACCGCCATGAGCATCCAGCTCTGTCAGGAAGGTGTGAGTCCACGCCTCCTCGGTCAAGGTCTTTGATCTCTCTCCCAAGTGCATCTCAAGATACTGTCTTGGTAATTCCAATATTGTTTATTTTCTTTAGTAGGACCCCCTGGTTAAGGGCTGTGGTACTTCTTCCACCTGCTGCTGTCCGTCCCCCATCAGTGGGGATCTGAGAGTCAAGATCCTAATGCCGTCCTGTGGGTGAGTGCTGTGAATGCTAGTTGGGGGAAAAAACTAAGACTTGTTGGTGACAAAAACAAAACACTGGCAGTAGGAATTGGGCACAGAAGGGAAAAAGCCCACCTCCTAATAGTTACTACAGGACAGCCAGAGGACTGGGGTTCACGGTGGTTTTAGGTTGTTATTGCCATTACCGTTGCTCCTTCTCGCTCTGATAAAGCTAGCCCGCAGCTGCAGCATCTCTGAATGTTTATGTACAGAGACAGGTCAGGTGGCCGACCTTTTAAATCCTGGTTATTTCTTGATTCCCTACAGTCTTTCTAGCCCTTTATGGAACAGCAGGACATAAAACCTCCATGGTCAGTCCAAACAGGTGCTCTGCTCTGGGGACTGCAGTGGCATGGTGAAAGAAAATGGGATTCACACTAGCATTACACTGTGGTAAGGATCTGGGCACCATGGTTGTCCAGCACTGTCCTGGGATCCTGTGGCATGACACAGAGCATCTGGCTTGGGCAAGCCACAGGAAGATGGTCCATCTGCCCAGGTGGCCTCCACTGTGCACTAACTACTGAACTATGATGCAGTTCTGTGCAAAATGGAAAACCTCCTGTCTAAAGTCATCTCAGCGCTGAGAATTAGAAGTAACAAATGCAATGCTGATTATCAAAAATGGCTCCAAATGAGATCCCCCAAATGTGAGGGAAGCCACAGAACAATAAAGTTGGTATCTGGGCAAGAGGGTAGACAGTATAACAGAAAGCAATGAGTGTGCTATTAAAGAAGGAGCCCACATCTGCTTTTGTAAAGGCAAATCCTGTCTTGTAAAACTGGAGGGTTTTGAGGGACTTGGTGAGCTTGTGGATAAGGCAGGTCTGGCTGATACAGTCTCCTTGGATTTCTAAAAAAACCATGATTTTTACAAGTTTTTCTCATCAAAGACTTTAAATAAAGATGAAGTCATAGCATAAGAAAGAAGATGATGTTTTTCTTGGATAAAGGATTAGTAGAAAATAGGAAGCAGAAGGTGAGAATAAACATCCAGTTTTTACAGCAATGGGTCAGTGATGAGATCACAGGGGCTTAACCTGAAATCTATGCTGTTCAGTACATTCCCAAATGACCTGGAAATAGAGTTTGTATGGTGAGGTGAGAAAGTTGGCTGATGGTAGAAAGTTATTCAGGATAATAGGGTGGGACCTGACTGTGAATAATTGCAGAAGGACCTTATGATAGTAAATGAGAGGCCAATAGAACAGCAGATGAAATACAAATATAGGCATATGTAAAAAAAATGTTCATGGTGAAAAATAATTCAAAACATATATAAAATAATAAACTGTGAACTAATTGTAACCTCTCTGGAGTAAGACTGCGATCATACGTAAGACCATGCAATTGTTAGCTTAATGCTTGGTTGTGGTAAACAAATAGCAGAAATCATCACTCTCTTTTTTATTTACGTATGTATGTGTATATATATATGTCCGTGTGTCACCAGCATCTTGAACATAGCAGTTCTGTACCACCCTTCACCCTTATCTCCAAAACAGTACAACAGAGTTGGAAACATCTCAGAGAGGGATAGCAAAGGTGATCAAAGGTGTAGAAAAGCTCTGTATGATAAACACCTAAGTAGGGTTGGGGTCTTCAGCCTGGCAAAGAGCTGAGGACAGACATGGACATTATGGGTCCATACCATGAGCAGCTTGGAGGGGCTGAACAGGAATCAGTCGTTGATTTTTTTTTTCCTTTCTTTACATCAACCAGATGTTAATAAATTAAGCCAGGAGCAGGTTATAAGCAAGCCAAAGGAGGGAGTGTTTCTGTAGCTGAGCGGTGGAACTCCTTGCCAAAGGATGCTAAATTTATTATGGATTTCATATTTGACTCTACGAGTAGCTGCAAATAGAGGCTCAGGGACTACAGGGGGGAAAGAAGCTCCATGCATTACCTCTTTCTTTACCTTTCCTTCTACTACCATTTTGATCTCTGGATCACCTAGTCCAACTTCCTGCTCACAGCAGACCTAACCCAAAAGCTAGATCAGGTTGCTCAGGTGAGTCCTGAACATGTCCAAGAGCAGAGATTCCCCAGCCTCTCTGGAGACCTGTGGCAATTGCTGAACTGCCCTTGGGGACAGTGCATGTACAATTTTTCCTGGTGCCTAATCAGAATTTCCCTTGCTGCAAGTTATGCCCGTTGCCTCTTGTCTTTTTGCTGTGTCCCACAAAGAAGAATGTGGCTCTAAATTCCCCAGTCCCCCTCTAGGTAGTCTCAGATAGCTGTTAAATCCCTCCTTAAGCATCTTTTCTCCAAGCTGAATAAACCCAGCTGCCTCCATGTATGCCGTGCTCCAGGCTCCTCACCACCTTAGTGGCCTTATGCTGGACTCTGTCTAGTTTCTCAGTGTCTTTTTTACAGTAGTCCAGATGTGGGGGGCTCTTAATTAGCTATTTCATTTATCTTCTCCTCCAAATTTGTTCCTGTGCTAGCTGTGGCTTGGCTCCACAAAGGACTTACAAGATGAGGTTCTACCATCTGTGTTGTACTGAAAGCCAAACAACAGTGTAAGAGTAGTCTCTTTGCTGAAATCTCTTGACCTGTTAATACTTATGAAAGTATTTTAGAGGCTCAATTATAGTCTGCTGTTGCATGCTGCAGCCATTCAGGAGACCAACCTCAAAGATATCAACAAATTGCTTCTCTACTGTGGTATTTCCCTCCCTTACCAGCAGGAGCTCCTCCTTGGTAGTTTTTAATTAGGTGGCCCAGATCAAAGACACCAAGGCAGCTGTGTGCATCCAGTCCTGTCCTGAGCTGAAAGCAACCAGAAGTATAAAGTCATTCTGTAAATTATGTGATTTGGGATTTGTATGCACGCAAATGTGGGTTACACTGCACCCCGTGGTTTGCCCTACTGGAGGATACTGTAGGTTTTAGGATTACATGGGTTTAGCACTAGCTCACCCTTTCTGTTCTGATCTGGACTCTTTGCTGCCTTGTTCCTTCCCTGTTCCCCTGTGTCCCACTGATGTTCTCTTCCTTGGACAGATTTTCTGCTCCAGCCAGTTCATAAGGTGTAGGTTTTATTTTTGTCTGATGTGGCTTCACATCAACCCTACATAAGCTAATATTCAGGAACTCTCTTTTGGGGCTTCTGCCCAGGAGTTCCAGTCATTTCTGTCCTACCACTAAATAATATTTCTTCCCTGTGCCAGTGCTAGATTGGCTCAGATTTAGGTGCAGTCTTTCAGGTGCAATTTCTACAATTTTGTGTAGAAGTTGTTCCCTTGAGCCACAGATCTCTCTGCCTTTAAAATCTCTTTTTTAAAAAAATACCAGGTTTAAGTCAGTACAGCTGGATCCCTGCAGCTCACCACATCCCAGCTTGTCATGTGTGTGAAACTAAAAGCATTT